CATATTGTGAAACCCTAAGTTAATCCGACAAGCGGTTTTGGAGAACAGGTGCGGACAAGTTCAAATTTAAAAGCGGCGGAAGAAGAAGAAGAAGAAGAAGAAGAAGAAGAAGAAGAATAATAATAAGAACTGAGCAAAAACAATAAGTCTTCCCAAACTTCGTTTGGGAGACTTAATAAAATAAGGCCGCATGGTGACTTGTATTTATTACATCCTTGTCCTTTGGTTTTTAGTTGATAGTTGTCTCATTGGCAACGATACCACAACGATCCTTATTTTAAAATCATAATGAATAGCGTAGTTGCAGGAAATGCCAAGCACTGAAGAGTTCCAATTGCCGCGCGAAGGGCGATAAGATATTATCAACAGTTTTCTCACTATAAGCTTTGAAAAAGTCAGTCAGATCAATAACTAACGAGTGCGTAGAAGGAAGGAATCAGAGATTGAATAGCAATTGTGGTTTATCTAGTTTCGTCAAATTTCTTCAATATATAAGTCAGAGCATACTAATATTAAAAGAAATTCATAACTTTTCAACATTTCACAACAACAAATAATATAGCTCAAAGCGGTTTCAGAAATAATTAAAATCTATCCTTCTGAACGTATCTTGTAGGAGTTTTAAGTATAAAAAAGCAAAGATACTTTCAACCATTAACTTTTATTGAGTTTTTAGACATTAAAGTAATATGAAACGAGTTTCTTGTAATTATAATGTTATCGAAATTATTGAACCAATGCATCCATATACATGTATACCAAACTAAGTCCTGTATGCACGTTTTTTACATTTATTACGAATCTATAATGTATTATTGACAAATAACATTTCGTTCAAGATCTGTTGATCGCAAGCTAAATTAATTAACTTTCGAGTTTGTTGCCGAAGTTTACCTGATCGTAACATTGATAAACAATCAATACAGAGCATGTGGAGCACGTGAAAAATAAGTGAATTATTAGAGCCATGATATTATTTTTTTTATATTTTCGATGCGTTCCCATTTGTTTATTAAATTAGGAACCAGTTATTACGTTTTACCTTCAAGTCCACGTTTGTTTACATTCTTTCAGTTCTAACGAGAGGTCTCGTAATTAATGTCACTGCATACGGAAAAATATCGGCGAATTAGTGTACGGGAAGACAAATATTCAATAGTAGTACATTTATGAAGATTTTGATAAGACAAAGGTTTTTCTTTTACAAGAAAGTTCACATACACTTATTTTTATTTTATAGTACGTTGTACTGGAACTTAGCCATTCAAGTTTATAAACATATTTAACTTTATTTTTAATTTGAAGTTTCATAAGACTTTAAATATATTAGTTTGTGATATTAAAATGGAAAAAAAATCATTTCAGTAATGTCGTTTGTTGTATTTTGTTTGTAGACTTCCGTCAATGTAATAGATAACAATGGAAGTCCATTAATATTCTACAAAAAAATTAGGTGATTGCAGATTAAAGATATGTGGTAAAATCGGCTCTACCTGGTTTGGATTACTGCAACATTTTTCCTACAAAAATTGCTCTCTTAAATGGGTAGACATCAAACTCGATGATTTCACACGTTTTCAGAATTGGCAAATGCACTATCTCATATATACATGTTACGATGTTTATTTGTCGATGCACACATCGTTTCTTTTGAAATTTTTTTTTAGTTCAATAAATGCGTCTCACATTTTTGCGTTAGTTGCTTATCAAATATTACACCGACCAGGATAATTGAGCTTGGATTTCCTTTTCTCATTTTATCACGGAATTGTTAGAGCTATCTATATATATCATATTCATATATCATTTTGAAAAGCTAAGTGTACTAATATAGAGTAGGTTCACTAATGCTGCCATAAATTAAAGAAAGATACCATGCATAAAATAAGCAGCAAATTCAAATTATTGGATTCAAATTATACAAGAAGTTAAGTATGTTTTATATATTTGAATGGCTATGTTTTAGTCTTAGATGCATGATTTTTTTTATTAGTTGTTAGTGGCTTTGAACTAGCTGTCAGTAACTGCGAGTACTCTCAAATCTGTACTTAGTGTCTTTTTGTTGTTTGGATGTACAAGTACCCGGCCACGTCCACTTGTGTTTGTAGTATTTGTATTTTTATCCTCTTTCAACTGATTTTTATAGTTCGTTCTTATGTTGTACTGTTACACCACTGTCCCAGGTTAGGGGGAGGGTTGGGATCCCGCTAGCATGTTTAACCCCGCCACATTCTGTATGTATGTGCCTGTCCCAAGTCAGGAGCCTGCAATTTAGTGGTTGTCGTTTGTTTATGTGTTACATATTTGTTTTTCGATAATTTTTTGTACATAAATTAGGCCGTTAGTTTTCTCGTTTGAATTGTTTTACATTGTCATTTCGGGGCCTTTTATAGCTGACTGTGCGGTATGGGCTTTGCTCATTGTTGAAGGCCGTACGGTGACCTATAGTTGTTAATTTCTGTGTCATTTGGTCTCTTGTGGAGAGTTGTCGCATTGGCATTCATACCACATCTTCTTTTTTTATAGCAATGCTTTTTCGTTACGTACAAACCTAGAAATATAAAAGCAAACCTTTTTTTCCCCCAAGATCAATTTATTCATAAAAAGTTGTATCTAATAGTATTTTTTATCTGTTTGTTATATAATCATACAAATACAAATTACAAACTTTATTTGAGCTAATTTATTTTTAACAAGTAATAACTGAAACAGGGTATTGTCTGAAGTCTCCCAAACAAAGATTTGTTACAACTCGGTAATCAAATTATTTGAAATCACATTGTTTCACAAAAAAGCTTGGGTCAAAATGTTACCTAAATTTATGTTTGATATAAAACCTTTCTTCAAAATTTGTAGGTCTTAGAGTCTTTCGGGCTAACAAAATCGGAATCCCATCCTATTGACATTCAAATGTTCCACGTTAAAGTTTAGGTCAAAGCAGTTTCCAAAATATATGATTGATATGAGCTACATAATGTATTTTAAAAGACTTTCAGGAAATTTACAAAATTTGGAATCCCAGCCTTTTTCAATTGTTCCATCTCAACGTTAAGGTTATTACAACCGAATCTAAGTAAAATATCGATCTATAGTAACTGGCGTCATATGAATATAACGAAATCAGAGATATATATTTCGTAACAACCACTTGCTAAATGCTTTTCTGAATTATAATCGTTCTGAGAGATTTTCAGGACACTTACTAAATTGAGAATTACATCCTTTGAATACTTATTATACATAAATGAATGGATGAATGCAATGTTATGCAAAAGCATAAACATGCTATATAGCAAAATGAACAGAAATACTATGACAATAGGAATATACAACAGAGAAAGTTCAATTGTATAATGCAATAGCAAATGTAAAGTTATGAAATTAGATGAAATCTAATATTCCATGCAGGTTTTGTATAATTTCATACTTTCATAGTGTAGTAAAAGATCTACAAGTTCATGGTAATAATTCGGATTAGTCCAGGAACAGTATTTAACTTCGGAAATGATAAACGATTTTTCCTTTTAATTTCACAGAAACGATAATATTCAACACTGGTACAGTAGCGTTACTGATTATAATATCAACGATCAATACAAAATGTTTTAATTCTACTACAAACACAAAGTTTGATATTAAATTATTCAGTTGTTGAACAATTCTTAAAGTACTGATGTCCTATATATATATATATTGAATTTTTAAAGTATCCAATGTTTGGGTTATTTGTAACGTTTCAATATTTTATGTTTTCTTGAGATGTACAAAGTTAGATGACCATCTATGAACAAGTTTTCCTTATATAAACCCGAGGGCACATTCATTTCGTATAACTGGAACTGAATCTGAAAAAAACCGGTCATGGTCTAAAACATACCCGACCATCATTAAAAGACAATTGTTCTTCTGGAATCACATAAAACTATTTAAGAAAGTTCATAAGAGACGATATGGATCGTGATCGTTGCTGAACTAAACGGCTAACGTTTTATTTAATTTTTTTTTTTTGGGGGGGGGGGGGGGGGAACGGGGGTATGCATAAACATGCCATTGTTGTGTTAAAATGTAACAAGATATATAAAAAAAAAATTATATGCAAAGAGATGTTCTATAATATGAATTCAACTTATTTTTTTTTGGTCATATACCTGTATTTTCTACGGGTCTAAAACCATTTGAAAATATTTACTTTGGGTTCATATCATTATTAATTTTACTTATATAATGATCAACTAACCAAATAATTTAATAATAGACGGTAGCATTAAATCTAACAGTATATTGCACAACACATCGACGAGGTGGACTTAATACTTTAAAGTCGGCATATATATGGTAGGAATTATGAAAACTAAGCAAGTGTCTCTTGTTTAAAGATTGAACGCAATTAAAGATAACCAAGTTGTCGAAATAAATAATAAGTATACTGAATATCGCGTATAGACCTAACTTCTGTCTAAATAAATAATTACATGTAGCATACTAAAAGTTTAGTTGAAAGCTTTACAAAATGTATGCAAGATACCCAAGATAATTTGATCATTGCACGTCAAGTGTATTTTGCAAATTTATGAGTTGATAATTATTTACGCAAACGTGACAATCTAAATCGGTCAAAAAGGAATGCTATTTCCTCCACCTTGACTTATTTAAAGTTTTAAAATTTAAAACTTCAATGTCACGGATATCGGTTATTTACAATAGAAGATAAAATAAGGTTATGTAGTTATCTAGGGTAGTCTATACTATTATGAGGAACGCCGTTCTTTACCATACCCCTCCCCTCCCCACCGCCGAAAAAAGTTAATAAAAAGTAAGATAACAAAAATACCGAACTCCAAGGAAAATTAAAATTGGAAGTCCCTTATATAATAATATATACCCTTACCAAAATTTGCTCAAATTATTCTAAAAGCGTACAAGACAAAAAGAAAATAAACAAGATATAAAAAATAGCCAAAAATTCATGAAGTCGATTAAAAAAACACACAAAAACCTACCTTAGAACTGCATGTTACCATGTTGTTTTTTTCTCCTGCGAGGCTTGAGAAAAAAATAATCCAAAGAAAATATCTCGGAAAGCACATATTTCATATTGTCTTCTTTTTGTGACTTCCAGAAAGAATAAAACTAAAGCACTATAATCAGAAAGTCTTCCCATAAATTGATTTTAAGATAATTTGCAAATCATTATCAACAGCGACATCACAGCAATAACTGTGTATTGATGTGACAAATGTCTAGGCGTTTATCTAAACAAGGTCATAATCCAGTACGCAACAGAAATCAAGTCACAGGTGTTTCGATAGTTGTTACAGAAAGGTATAAGACGATATCGTCGTATCTGATCAAATCAATATTTTCACATGGTTGACATGTTTCCTGTACAACAAAATTACAAGTGTTTGATAAGCCTACATTATTGAGACAAATATATATAATATCCTTTATATTTTAAATTTAGATGGAGACGAATGTGTTCATTTCATTTGGTGGAAGCACTATACATGTAATAAATACAGGAGGAAAATTGACCTAGGTGGAGCACAGGCACTTGACGTTCTATCGATAATAATAAAATATGGGCAATGGGAAGAAACTATTGTCAATGTATATAAATAAAATTAGTAAAGTGTTCCACGGAACCTTGTGTCTCGCCTGCGATTGCTGCTGTCAGTGTAAAAGTGTATAAGATAAGATATTTTTATTTCCAATTATGGGCCCCAAAGGGCATAAACATTACAACATCAATAATTTTTCATAATACAATACAAACAATGAGATAAAAAAAAAAAAAAAGTTAAACCAGAACTATTTAAGTTCTTAAAGAATACGTAGATAAAGAATCTATAGTATGTTGTTTTTTTTAATACTAATGCATTTTATTGCAAGTGTGGTTGATATAGATAACAAACAAGCAGCCCAAAAAGAAAAAAAGAAAAATAGATATCCACATATGTATAGTACACAAAAAGTTGGATCAATTAAATATATAATAATTAGCCAAAAAGAAAGTAGAAATTAAACATGTCCATGACTCATCCTGTGTCAGCAGCAAATAGGAAAGCATTATGGTTTCCTAAAGGCAGCTGACACCAGGGGGCGATACCTTATGGGCCATAGGCATGTAAAATGTGTGTAAATGTCTCTTTCCTACCTGTATCAAAAGCAAACAAGGAAGCATCATAGGTAACTTGAATGCAGTTGATACCAGGGGACGATGCCTCAAGGATATAAGAGAACATTTGAATAAATAATATATCTTAACAATTATTTTTTTTTTTAATCGGCTAGTATGTTTGTGATATTCAGATGAATATAATTTTCTATGTCCAATCAAATGTATATACACACATAGATTTCCTTTAACTAATCTTCACTAAGGAAGATGTTTGTATATAAAATTACATATTATTTTAAGTAACTCAACATTTTCTACACTAAATAACCAGATAATTTTGCTTTGACTGCTCATATGATTAAAATAAGAATTATATTGTGCAATACTAGCTAACATACAATTTCTATCATCCTCAAATTTGTTACAATCAAATAGAAAATGAGCCTCATCTTCGACAGTATTGGAAGAACATTTATTACATATTCTGTTAATTCGGGGAATACCCTGATATCTACCTAATTCTATTTGTAATCTATGAGAAGATACACGTAATTTAGTAAAACTTCTTCTAAGTTCAAAATTCTTGATCAATGTTAGATATTTTTCATAACCAAAATTTGTTTTATATAAAAGGTAGGTTTTCAGTTTACTGTCTGAAAATTTATCTATTTGTTTTTTCCAACAGCTAATAAACAATATTGATAGCTTGGTTTGTATATATTTCTTAAATTTGTTTAAGGATTCACAAAATGGAGCATTTATGGCATTTGTATAGTCAATACCAAGTATTTTAAAAACAACATTTATTGAACCATACCATGATGTTATATTCATGTGATGTAGTGTCTTTGATTGTGTATATGCCTCTTTTAATAGAGGAAAATTATTACCTAAATTCTCTAATCTATACCAGTACAATAACATTCCTTTTATAATATTAAAATATATTGGAAATCTTCCAAGTTCAGATAACACTGCAGCATTTGTTGTTTTCTTGTGTACCCCAAGTATAAATTTACAAAATTTTATATGAAGTTTCTCACAGGGTAAACCTGAATATAATTTTTCAAAAGATATATCTTCCTTCTTACATTTAGAGGAAAGAGAATTAAACATCCCCCATATTTCGCTACCATATAATAAAATAGGTTTTACAGTGTGGTCAAAAACATGAATACTTGTTTTTACATCAGGATTAAGTGATAAAAGATCTTTCCTTAATTTGAAATGTGCTTTCAGGGATTTTTCGTATAGTTCATTTTGAGCATAACTGAATGAACCAGATGAGCTTAAATATAAACCTAGGTATGTGTATTTTGAAACACATTCCAGATTTATATTCTGAAATGTGAATATCTGTTTTACATGTTTGCCTTGTTGAAAATCAGCACCTTTGTCTTATTAGTATTCACATTGAGACACCAATCTTTGCAAAATTTATCAAGCATTCCCAGCTTTTCTCATAGTCCTTCAGCTGATGTAGATAATAAAACAATATCATCAGCATACATTTAACAATGTAGATCTTTGTCATTGACATTAACTGGGTCTCTAGTATCTGACAAATATCTGGGCAAATCATTTATGAATATCTTGAATAAATTCGGACTGAGGTTGTCACCTTGTTTGACTCCAATATCTAATGGGAAAAAATCACTTACTTGATTTTGAATTTTGACACATGATTTGCTAATTATATAATGTTGTCATGAAAAGTGGGTCCATTTATCAGTAAAATACAGAAATTAAATAAAATCATTAGATGCTATTTCTTGGTCTTGAAGATTAGCGTCTGTCCCAGTTTCATAACAATACATGTAGGTTTACAAATTTATCAAGTAAAAAAATTGAATCCCAGACTGTCTGTAAATGTTAAAATACTGAAAATGAAAAACATATATTTTCAAAAGTTTGCTTCAGCCATTATCTCTTAATCATAAAAAAAGCTTCTACCAAAGTTTCATGAATTCTATGGAGGTTTGACAAAGTAATTGATGTGTAAAAAACTTTAACCTCAGACTGAATGTGAATGTTAACTGTTAAAAAACTAAGCACATTACAGAAAAATGAAAATAAATATTTTCAAAATTTTGCTCTGGATACTGTCTTTTGGTCATAAACAAGCTTCTATCCAAATTAAATAAATTTACATGAAGGTTTGACAAAGTTAATGATGTCTAATAACAACTTTAACCACAGACTAAACCTTCAAGTTAATGTTGACGCCCCCGACGCCGACGACGACGGAATCTAGGATCAATATATCTCGCTTTCGCGACATATTAAAATGTCGCATGCTCGACAAAAGAAGGTTTGACAAAGGTATTGATGACTGAAAAACCTTAACCTTAGACTGAATTTGAATGTTAACTGTAAAGAAAACTATGTCCATTTATCAGCAAAATTAGAAAAATGAAAATACATATATTCAAATTTTTGCTGTGGATACTGTCTTTTGGTCATAAACAACCTCTGTTCAAATTTCCTAAAATTCAATGAAGGTCTGACAAAGCTATTGATGTCTAAAATAAACTTTCACCCGTACAGACTTAACCTAAATGATGACGACGCCGATGCCGGAATCTAGGATCGCTATGTCTCGATTTCGCGACATAGACGTCACTGGCTCAACTAAAATGAAATCTATTCCAATTTCAGGCTAATATATTTATCAATATGAAGCAGATACACAATATTTCTTGTTTTTTTTTCTCCTACAAAAAATGAATAAAGCAATGTAGTCACATGAAATTTACTCAAACAATTGAAGTTAAAAAAAATACACCTTTACATAGCCGTGTGTTGGGGTTACTGACCCTATTCCTTTGCAATAAAAGGACATTTCAGGAGCAATTACTCTTAATTGGGTTGTCCAATTTCATAAAAAAATCATGGAAGGTAGAACTTGACCCGTTGATCCATTTTACCCAGTCAGTTTTGCTCTAACTGCATTTATATTGAAAAATAAACCAAAAAATGTCAATTTACACCTATGTTTACTTTTTTGCAACAGCGCCCCTTTATTTATGGATTACAGCCAAGGATACAATACAATTTTTAAACTAAATTCCCAAAGGAACATTCATATAGAGTTAGTGTCCCTCTTTGTCGTCTGTAATTGTTGTCCGCTGTCGTAAACTTGAAAAAAAAACTGTTATTAGCTACATCTTCCACCAAAACATAAAACTTTGAAAAACTCATTAACACCAATGTCATACCAGAGGTAACAGCAAGCAAAGCTCACAAAATGATACCCCAGCCCATGGTATTCATCTTAACATACAAAGTATTGGCTTGATTTTGCAAACTGCAAACATTCTAACCTAATGCATATACCTTCAGAAAAAAAAACCCTCCTTAATAACGGAGCGGTGACTAACATTCTCCAAGAAGGTAATGACTCGCGGAAAATTGTATATAAGTCACTCATATTCAATTAGTCTGAACATGAAAACAAATTGAGATCATGTATAAATATTTCCAGGACAGACAAATGAAACAAAATTCTTCTTTACCTAAATCGCAGATAAAAGATTCTGGTAAAAATCAATATTGAAAACAAGTAACGATGAAATTGGCAATCAAATTGATAATTTCAGTGTTTTCTCTACATCTAACAAACAGGCATATCAGAAGGTTATTATTTTGTATGAAATCAGTATTCTATTCTCATGAAAAACTTCCGATCCTAACGGACCAACCTCTGTTTATTTTTCTAAAGGGAAGTTTTGCTGTACATGTAGAGTTCTTATCACAAACGAGATATCACATCCTAATTGTTACGGTGATATTGTAAAGCCCGTCGTGAATTTAGATACGATCCATATAAACTAATTAATCCTTTGAATAAACTTAATATTATTAAGGGTAACTAATTCAACAAAGTATTTAAATCTTTAAATATTGTTTTATCGGCATAACTTTGATTTTGTTTTTGAGAAAATCAATTATAACTTTATATGTACAGTTATGAAAACTCCTGATCCTACATACTGTCGATACTGTTTACACTTATATTGTGGCATTGTACAAAGTTATGCGTTTCTTAGACTGTTTATGCCGTCTTTACACTAAATCTGTTCGATATGTACTGATTGATACTTCAGTCGGTAGCGTTCAGTAACTGCGAGTACTCTTATTTCGATGATTTGTATAAAGTTTTTATGTTAATTGATTTTATTTCTCGTGCCGATCTTTTGAGTTAAGTCAATTGCAACTGGTATTTACAGTCTGTTCTTATGTTGTGCTGTAACACTGGGAA